GTGTATGCCGTTGGGGACCATGTCTTTCTGAAGGTCTCGCCTATGAAGGGTGTGATTCGCTTTGGGAAGAAAGGGAAGCTTCGACCTCGCTACATCGGACCATTTGAGATCCTTGCTCGAGTCGGGGACTTAGCTTATCGGTTGGTATTACCACCGGATCTATCGGGAGTGCATGACGTGTTCCACGTTTTGATGTTGCGGAGATACGTGCATGACCCCGACCACGTAGTGGACTTTGGCGAGCTGCAGGTCAAGCGAGACCTCACCTATGAGGAGGTGTCGGTTGCTATTTTGGACCAGAAGGTCCATCAGCTGTGGAACCGGGCAGTGAGTTTGGTGAAGGTGCAGTGGAGCCGACATGATGAGTCTGAGGCGACTTGGGAGAAGGAGGTCGAGATTAGGAGGCGCTATCCAAACTTCTCTTTTTGAGTCCCTTGTATCTTTCTTTCGTTTTGTTTCTTTTATTTTCGAATTCCGAGGACAAAATTCTTTTAAGGTGGATGGATTGTAATGGCCCGTTTGACTATGGAGTTTTTTATTATTATTATTATTAATTGTCATTATTATTGATATTATTATTGTTGAATGCTTTGATTTATTAAATGTCTAATTGGCTAAATGTGATTAAATGCTAAATTGTGAATAATTGCCTAATTGTCTAAGTGTTGTTATTTTAATTAAAATGTGTATTTGTATTTTTACTAATATTATAATTATTATTATTTTAAAAATTAAATTATGTGTAATATATTTATATATATCTTTCGGTTTGTTAAATTGTGTGATTTAATTTATCGAGCCCGTGAAATTATTTTATTTCTACGTAGACGGGCCCGAGAGTCGATACGTTTTATTTAACCGAACCCACGAGCCCGATAACCGTAAATCCGGCCCGCTCCATTGCACGTGTGTTGGATATTTTCTTTTTTGTGCATTAAGATTTTACTAAACCTAATCGTGAGTTATATATATATATATATGCACATCTCCTTTCTCTCTTGGAATCAAATTTTTTTTAAGAAAACCCGCAGCTTCACGCCTTCTCCTTCATCGCAAGAAAATCAGAATTTTAAAACCCTTCCACAGCCTTATTTTTCTCCTTCCTTCCTTCCCGATCGCGGCGTGTTCAGGGTAGAGATCTCTCTCTCTCTCTCTCTCTCTCTCTCTCTCTCGTGATTTTGATCGTCATCACCCTCCATCACTCATCACCCTCGCTTTTTATTTTCGCCGGCGAGTTTCGACGCGTAGCAGTCCTTTCCGGTCAGCCAGCAGGAATTCCGACGAAGCTCCCTCCCCTCCTGCCCGTGACCTTCACCGGCGAGCACAACCAGTTGCAGCGACTCTCTTCATCCTCCGCGCAGCGACTCTTTTCCCGGCGAGACGAAGTTTGCCGTCGAGCCTCGAGCCATCTTCGCGTGCCGTTCATTCGAGCCGTCAACCTTTTCGTTCGAACGTTTATTTTTCCCGAGAACGGTACAAGGCTCGACTCATCTTGTTTAAATTTTACGTCTCGTTTATGTTGTGTACTTGATTGTCGTCTGTGAATATTGAATTCATGAGTCTTATGATTGATATGATTGATGGGAGATTGGGAATTTTATAAAATAGTGTACTTGGGATTTGAAGCTGAAAATTTGTGTATTTGCTTAACTCTGGAAGGTGAAATTTTGGTTAAAATTTCAGGGTTAAATTTGAATCATAACATGGTCAACTTATTTTTGTGGTTTAAATCTAGTATTTTAGATACATAGCGTTTGGAAATAAAAACTGTGAATCATCTCGTTTTCTGTTTCCTTGAATGTTTGGCTTTGTCCATCTGTGCCTTGGATTATGTGAACTCCCATGTCAACTTGGTTGAGTCTAGATGTCGAGTCTAAGTGTTCCAACGTCCACAGGACTTCACGAACAACTTAGTTGAATCAAGTTCGACTAAGTATGATTGTGATTTTTCGTTTAAGTCAGAATAGATATTGATTATAGCATCTGAACTTAATGTAGGTGTTTGACGAGCCGAGCTCGCAGCCTAATCGTGCTTTCGTGATTATCTCCTATTTGCGACCAGGTGGGTTTTATTTAAAAGTCGTCTATGCCATAAATTATTTACATTTGATGGTTGGTGTGATTAATGCATGCTTGTGAACCATGTAACCCTCGTTGTGAGCTGTATGTTCTTCGAGCGGTTGTCCCCGTCATTGTGAGCTGTATGTCCTTCGACGGTGCCTTTGATAGGCAGTCTCCCTAGCCTAATGATAGGCAAGGCCGATGTGAGTTGTATGTCCTTCGGTATTTTACTCCCATTGTTGTGAGTTGTATGTCCTTCAATGGCTAATGATAGGTGTGCACATTGAGTAAAAATATTATGATTAGGAGATGTGATAATTGATTGATTCGTGTTCATGCTGCAACCATGCCTAACTAATATTGTACATGATTTATTGCATAGTGGTGAGCACGACATTTTTCCAATTGTGCTCATCCCCACTTGAAATTCACGTTTCAGGTTAAGCAAGGCGGCCACGACGGTAGGATGGCTAGTGGATGGTCATGTTTGCATTATTTGCTTCCGCATTATTTTGAATAAGTTAACCCGAATTGATGAACTTGAGTTGTTTTTGGGTTATGAACATGATATTTTATTTGAGACCATGTCATTTGAATTATGTTGGATTTGAACATATGATTTGGTTCTTATTATTGAACTACGTATGGATATTCATGCTGAATGTGTTATAAGGATATCATGTGAACTGTTGGTTTTAGGACAATGAAGTCCATGTGAAGAATCGGGTAATGAATTCCCGTGAGGTTTCAAATATGAATTGAAATCAAGATAATGCCCTAATGATATGAATTTGAAAAATGAATTTCGAAAATGTTAACCTGATTTTTGAATAAGGCATGGATTATTTCTTAAATCAAAGTGGGGCGTTACAACCACACTATCCTTAATATTATCAATATAATTAAATAATATCGATTAATTATTATTACACATTACTTCAAAATGAATTCACTATTCATCTACTCACATAATTTTAACTAACTATCACTTCACATCATCTCTCTCCTACTTTTACATCAAATCGGTTTTAATTATTTTATTTGAAATATTTATTTAATATAAATTCAAAACCTCAATAACAACTAACAATACCATTTTTTTCAACATTAACATATCAAACCAAAAAATCTAAACAAAACCAAAATAATTTATATCCAAGCATTCTCTAAGTGTTTGACCCACTAAATAATAAACGGTTATAAAAAAAATAATAAACCGATATTCAGTCATGAGCAGTTATATGTAGTTGTCTCTCATGTGCACAAAGAGATATTTAATAATGTATAATAGTCTTATTATTTTATTTTGCTTAATATTTTTTATTCATAAAAAAAAAAAAAAAAAAAAAAAAAAAACAAAGTTGGGTAAAGAGCATAATTTTGAAAATCGGACCAGACCAGCCGGTCCAACTTGTTGAACCGGGAACCAGACAGTATACCAGTCATATGAAACCGTTCTCAACACAAACCGGTTCAAAACCGGTAACATCGGTAAATTGTTCACGGTTCTAGCGGTTGAGCGGCTCACTCCAAGGCTTTGTATGATGCTAATTGATAACCACAAGGTCATTAGTTAAATAACAATCTCTTTTTTTTTTCTTTTACCAATGTGGGACAAATTTTGTTGAGTGTGCTGTGCGGTTGTGCCATTTGGTTTGTTTTGTTTTATTCTTTCATTCCTTTTATTGTTTTTTTTCTCCTAATATGTTGTACAACTGTATTATTTGATGATTAGTTGATTACCCGTTCCTTTTAATTATTTTATGATTTCCGTATCAATATGTGTTTGGGATTTGCAAATATTTAAAAAAAAAAAACTGAAAAGAATAAAAAAATTATAATCTAATTTAAAAATAAAAATATACATTTGGGTTGTATCTATTTAAATATAGATCAAATATAAAAAATAATATAAAAAAATATCAACATTATTCAACATCGTCGACTATATCTATTATTAAACTTTTATTGATAGAAAAATGGTATTATGCCCTATAAATTAATGATAAAACTATATAAAATTATATATTATACATATAAAATAAATAAAAAATTTATTATTGATTAAACCGGTTCGACCACTGGTCCGACCACTGAACCATTAAACCAGTAACATCACCAGTTCGATGAACGGTTCGATTTTCAAAACATAAGTAAATAGCCCTTAAAACTTTTCACCCGTGCACCGGTTCCATAAGGGCACCCGCAACGCCTCATTTTTTTGGGCGTTTAAACGCCACTTGGCGTTCAACAGGGATGTGGCCATCCATTAAACCTGTGGGGCCCCCTGCTGCGTTCAATCGGCTGAACGGCGTTCAGCCCCCTTTAATTTTTTTTTTTTTGGTTTTAAATCAATTGTTTAATCATATTATTTTACTTTTTTATATTAATTCATTTTTATCTTTATCTCACTTCTTCAAATTTTATTTATATCACACCAACTAAAAAAGTTATTTTTTTTTAATTATACTTTTTTTTCTTGTGAAATCTTAATTTAAGTTATTTTAGTTTTGTAGTTTTCTTTTATTTTCATGCATTTAAAATTTATTATTATAATTTAAAAATATTAATTTTTTATTTTTATGAAGAATAGAATATTAAAATTTATATTGAATGAGTGGATAATGGTCCCATATATCTATTTAAATGAATGAATATGAATGTGGGTATGTGTTTAAATGGAGAGAGATTTAGTGAAAAAATAATATGGATAAAAAAGAGTGTTACTTTTTAATTGAATGAATTGAAATTGTGTATTTGAGATGTGGATGCCCTAATGGTTTGGCGGTAAGAAGAAAAAATTTATTTTTGGAATTTGAAAGGGTACTGCGGTGGCTTTCTCGAAATAAATAAAAAATTTGTAGGCAAAATACTAATCTCTGGTTTCCCGCCCATTTGCCTTCCCTACAAGTGGGCATTATATTAAAAAATAATATCACGGGTACAGTTCTCAAGAGTGCATTTCCTCAAAAAAGGGGAAGAATAGGTTCGGAGCATACAAAGTACTTTTTTTCGGTCTCTGCCGTCACTTCTTCTCTCATCGCACACATACTCGCCGGTACAATCGACTCATCTATCTGTTTATCTTGAAGAAAAAACTTAAAAACTTTTTTTTGAGCATCAAGTACTTATTGTTTGTCCGTATAGGGTTTATGAGTTTCTTTTTTTGTGTTTAATTTTATTAAAAAATTCGAGAAGAGTTTTTCATTACATTGCTTTGCTTTGTTGGCTTTTGATTCGATAACCTAATTTATTTTACTTTCAAAGGTTTGAAGAGAAATGGTGGCCGAGAACGAAGGGAAGAATGAGCCTGTTACCGATTCTCCGACCTCTGTTCTTGAAGACGAGGTATAGACATAACAGTTTCCGCATTTTCCTTTCTGTTGGAAATAAATGTTTTTCAATAACGTTTCTTTTGAACGCTTGTGTGTATTTATGGGTATTTATAGTTAGGTGTGCGTATGCTGTGTGGGTGCAGCTATTTTACTCGTCAGGGGAGAAATACTTGTTTTGTCAAGTGGTTGTTGCCTTTT